TCATTTCTGTGCAGAAAACTAAATGAAATTGTTATTTTTAAAGTTTAGACTTTTATTTGAGATGTAAACTTTGAAGAACCTGAACACAAGCTATATTCACAGAGCCTTCGTTCTCTGATAAAACAGCCTCGTCAAGAGTCAGGGAGGAGAAAGCCTATTAAGTATGTATCAGTGTTAAAAACAAAGAAAACACATAATGCAGACAGATAATTGTATTAAAGGTTACTAAAAATATCAGTAAAACTCACCTTTGATCAATATTCACAGGAAATAATCTACTGAAAATCCAAATCCTGCAGTTATTGTGTTCACTGTTGGTCAGTTGTTCTCTGCTGTTATTGTTAGACGTTAAATATAATGTGAAATATCCATAAAATATAATTAATGATAGCAAAAAGGGTCCCGTAAGGTTGGGAATCACTGCCCAAAAAACAAATCATAAACTTGTAAGTTTAAGATTTTTGTACCTGCTGTTTGTCTGTTTTGATATCAGGGACTGACATTACTACTGAAGTCTTGCAGGCGTCTGCCCTCTGCTGGTCGTTTTACAGTACATTCAGGACATATTCTGGACTCCTGTCAGCCCACAATGGTACACACAGTAGACTTTTCAATCACAACCCAGAGATAATAATAATAATAATAATACATTTTATTTATAAGCGCTTTTCTAAATACTCAAAGACACTTTACATAAAAAAAAAATAAAAAATAGAATAAACATAAAAGCAGCCAAACAACATCAAATAGTAAAACATTAAAAACACATCAGACTTAGCTAAACATTAAAAGCAATTTTAAAAAGGTGAGTTTTTGTCAGTGATTTGAATGTTGGAAGGTCGGTACAGTCACGGATGGGTTTGGGGAGAGAGTTCCAGAGGGAGGGGGCAGCTACAGAGAACGCTCTGTCGCCCCAGGTTCGGTGCTTGGTCCGGGGTGGAGGAGTCAGGAGGTTTGCTTCAGATGAGCGGAGGCTGCGGGATGGATTGTGGCGATGGAGCAGGTCAGTGAGGTAGGAAGGAGCCTGGTTATGGAGGGCTTTGTGTGTAAGGAGGAGGATTTTGAACTGAATGCGCTGTGGAACTGGGAGCCAGTGGAGGGTCTGGAGGACGGGAGTGATGTGATCACGGGTGCGGGTGTGGGTGAGCAGACGTGCAGCGGAGTTTTGGATGTATTGTAGCTTATTTAGAGTTTTGGATGGTGTGCCATAGAGGATGCTGTTGCAGTAGTCGATTCTGGAGGTGATGAAGGCGTGGATGAGGGTTTCAGCAGCAGAGGAGGAGAGTGATGGGCGAAGACGGGCAATGTTCTTGAGATGAAAGAAGGCAGTTCTCGTGATTAGGTTTATGTGATGTTCAAAGGAGAGGTTATTGTCAAAGATGACTCCGAGGTTGCGACTGTGGGGGGATGGAGACAGGGTGGAGTTGTCAATGGTGAGGTGGAAACTGTCTGTGGTTTTGGTGAGGGATTTGGGGCCGATAATGATAAGGTCTGATTTGTCACAGTTGAGTTTGAGAAAGTTGGAATGCATCCAGGATTTGATGTCGGTGAGGCAGTTGGAGAGAGTCGAGTGAGTGGCCGGGGTGATGGATTTGGTGGAGATATAAAGCTGGACGTCATCGGCATAACAGTGGAAGTGGAGACCATGGTGGCGAATGATGTTGCCAATGGGGAGCAGGTAGAGTATGTAGAGGAGAGGACCAAGCACCGAACCCTGGGGGACGCCTTGGGACAGGGGAGCAGTGGAGGAGGTGCAGTTGTTGACATGGATGAATTGTTGTCGGTCTGTGAGGTAAGATTTTAGCCAGGAAAGTGCAGTGCCAGTGATGCTGAGAGAGGACTCAAGACGGGAGAGGAGAATGGTATGGTTGATGGTGTCAAAGGCTGCAGTGAGGTCCAGGAGGATAAGGATGGTGAGGTGGCCGGAGTCAGCGGAGAGGAGGATGTCGTTGGTGACTTTCAGGAGGGCTGTTTCGGTGCTGTGTTGGGAGCGAAAACCGGATTGAAATGGTTCGAACAGTTCATTTGAGCAGAGGTGGGTTTTGAGTTGTGTGGCGACAATACGTTCCAGTATTTTGGACAGAAAAGGAAGATTGGAGATGGGCCGAAAGTTAGACATGATGTCAGGGTTGAGTCCAGGAGATCTCACCTGAGCTTCAGCTTCAAGCTTCTCAGCTCATCGTTCACTCCGGCCGGAAAGTCCACAACTGCAAGAATTGAACAGATACAAGAACAGCAGGTAAAGGCTAAGTCATAAGTTATATAAAAAGTGTTTTAACATTATAAAAAGCAGAATCAGTGTGAAATGTGGGGACAACAACTCAAAAACACTGTATACATCTGACAATATATGCTTTTATACATGTTAAATTCAGTCGCTGGGGACAGATCTAATAAACTCTATGCTAACCTTCTGAATAACCTTCCACATGCAGGAATAATAATAATGATAATAATAATAATAATAATAATAATAATAATAATAATAATAATAATAATAATCTAAATGATTTAGAACTTTAGCTTTTGTCAGTTTATTGAAAAATGTATATTTATATTAATATTTTATTGTGATAAAGCCTCCTGATTGCTTGTTTTTGTGAATTGTGTCTACAGGATAAATTTAACTCAACAAGTTAATTATTTTTCCACACAATATTTTCCTGTTACAGTAATTTGTGTTGATACTTTATGGACCAGCTCAATCACTGTAGTAGACATGAATTAATTATATTGATTCTGTGTTTTGGACAAAGTGATTTTCAGTGCCTGTTCTAAATATTGTAAGTATCCAAGTATTGTTGTTTTTACATTGTCTATTGAAGATTGTCCATTTTCAGATCGCCAATGTGATAACTCTTAAGATATTCTCTCACCAAGTAATGTTTTCCCTTCCCACTGTGGCCTCTAAGAGAATTAGATCTGGATCTATCAGTTTCCCTGAACCACCTAAAGTGAAAAACATACATTTTAAAACAATAAAAAAGTGAATTTGTACGACTTGGATTCAACTTTGATTGTAATGAATGTGTATTTTGTAAAATAGAAATAGAAACACAGGAACATTTGATGTTATCTTAAAAGAAAAACACCCCTTGCCTTACTTTACTTCACTGGGATGGATTAAATCTCAGAAAGCTCAGACTCTATTTAATATCTGTCCGTTTTATTGTTTGGTTGGACCAAAGACAGATTACATTTTATTTGGTTATTTATTTTTCTTATTTTGTTGTTGTCTCACATTTGTAAATTGTTATCTGAATACTACTTGCTCAGTTTTAATTGTACTTTTCTTAGATGTTACAATGCTTAAATTCATGTTTTGCAATAATAATAATAATAATAATAATAATAATAAAGACTGTTGGCTGTTGCAGAGTTGATAAGATCCCCAAGTGACTGAATTAATATCATGTTCACTTTCTCACCTTTATAACAAACCACATTTAATGAGAATCGGTGGAGAATTCAGTGAGATTAAGGTGAGTTTTGTAACGCTGTTGACCTCACCAATATGGCGGCCGCGCAGACACACGTCGGTATCCCTCACGCTAATTAGGTAGCCAGCTCACCTAGCTATGTGGCAAACAGCTGAAACATACAGTAAATGTAACAGTTAGTTAATATGTACAGTTAATATCCGATAATTGTCTCTGAGCGGCGGGTAAAAATATTTCTGAAGGGTTGTGTAACGGAGGCTAACGTTAGCTAGCTAGCGTCCCTTACCTGTCTGAGTGCTGATGAAGGATTGGGTTGTCTCCTGGTTCTTCTGGTTCTTCTGGTTCTTCTGGTTCTCCTGGTTCTTCTGGTTCTTCTGGTTCTTATGGTTCTTCTGGTTCTTCTGGTTCTCCTGGTTCTTCTGGTTCTTCTGGTTCTTATGGTTCTTCTGGTTCTTATGGTTCTTCTGGTTCTCCTGGTTCTTATGGTTCTTATGGTTCTTCTGGTTCTCCTGGTTCTTATGGTTCTTATGGTTCTTCTGGTTCTTATGGAACATGGTTTAAAGATGAGCTCTGTGGTTTTAAAGGTTTCCACATGTTTTATTACAGAAGATTTAGCTGATATCTCCTCTCCGGTCTCCCGCGCTCATCTTCCTCACCGGGAGCGCGAGGGGAAGTGGGCGGGGCCGTCGGCTAATAATTAATATTGAATATTTAATATTAATTAAACTACAAACATATCCTCTGACTTTACATGTCTAATGTAAAATATGTGAACATCTATTAATAATCATTCAATTACTTCTTATTGAAAAAATATTTCCCTTTTTCACATAAAAAGAAAAATCTATATTTGTTTTGGCACATTTACTGTTTATTTTATGGATTTAACTGTTAAATTAGTGACAATTAAAACTAAAAGTATCTGTTGTGTAATTGTACATGAACTTGTTTGCTAATTGACAGATATCTTGGGTAATTATGGAATTAAGGACCATTGGTAAACTGTCCAAATACAATTTTTATCAGTGAAAACAGCAATAATTACTGTAATTTAACAGATAACTTGTATTACTATAACTTTTAAAATTCTGATTAAAATAAGAAAAGTTAAATAATAACAGCACTCTGCTGTATGCCTGATTATTTGTGTTAAAGCAGTGTTTACCTGTATTTGTAGTAACATTAATAAGCCAAAAAAATAAGCCTGTATTTTACTTATAGAAAATTACCGTATTTATTTGTTTAAAACAATATAATTCATAAACCTTTCAAATGTTTTGGAGTTTGTTACGTATGTATGTAGTGGAGTACAGTAGTAAGTACAATGTTTCACTCTGAGGTGGAGCAGAGTAGAAGTAGAATGACTAAATATCTTTAAAACAACATTAAATCCCCTTAAAATGAAATTTATCCTGTAACTTGTGACTTTGTCAGATTATTGTTTTGATGTGAGAGACCCCCTAGTGGCAGAAATTACATATTGTACGTTTAAGTAAAGGAAAATGCCCAACGAGGGGTCCACTATCAGGAATTAATGGACAAAGAAATATGACAACAAAGTAAAGACAATATTTTATTATGTTGATGAAAAACAGGAAACCATGTTCTGAAATCAGCAACATTACTGAACCCAAACTTGAGACGTCCACCTTAAACAGAAGGACTTCTCCTCTGACTGAAGCTGTCGGATAAATGTAGAGCAGCAGAAACAGAAAGTGGCATGAAAAGAACAAACTCAAACCTGAACTTAAATCTATAATCTGTAACATTTCTGCATTAAACTGTGTATAAACTCTAGAGCTTTGTTCTATATGCTCAATGTAATGATGGTAATAGTGGTGAAGACAACAACTCCCATCATCACACGTACTTCACAACCTTCCTCTGTTGTTATTGTTTTGATGTGAGAGACCCCCTAGTGGCAGGAATTACACATTGTACATTTAATTAAAGGATAATGTCCGACGAGGGGTCCACTATCAGGAATTAATGGACGAAGAACAAACAAAGTAAAGACATTATTTTATCATGTTGATGAAAAACAGGAGTTATTGTACATTCAGCATTAATGTTAGTTGGTGTTCTGAAATCAGCAACATTACATACAGTCTGAACCCGAACTGAGACGTCCACCTTAAACATGAGACGTCCACCTTAAATAGAAGAACTTCTCCTCTGACTGAATGACTAACAGCAGAATTCAACTGATGGAAACTGAATGAAAACACTGTTACAGACTGAATCATCTCCACTTCATTACAGCAAATAGAACATTGTTCATATATTTTGGATCATTTAAACATATATTTTACATATTGTGAACATTTGATATGTGGAATTAAACCATTTTGAAACTTGGCTGCTCAAACATGCAGTTAGTGATGATTATTTTTATGATTTGGTCAAAATAATAAAAAAAATGACAATTTAAAATGACACAGTGTCAATAAAAAGAGAACCAAACATAAAGATCAGAAACTGAGTGAAATCATTAAAAAATAAACATATTGTTCACTGAAAATAAGTAATCTCAAGAAAATAAAAGTCTTGTTTCTATGAAATGTGTCTTATTTTTTGTCTATGAAGAAAAATAATCTTTCAAGCATGTTCTTTATTAGAATCTGGTTTTAAGAAAATATATCTAACTGTCTGTTAATAAGTTATTACAGCTAATATTGAGGTTGATTTAACCAGTAACAACAACGGTTGCATAATATCCCAGCAGAGGAACCAGATTATGGTCCTTATTTTAAGTAAGTAAGAGCACTCACACAACTTCTCACTTTAAGATAAAGTCGTCTGGTCCCAGTGTTGGAAATGAAGCAGCTGTTTAGTTTTTCATTGTTTTAATAAAAAATATAAAAATAAGAATATTTCTGTTTTGTTTTTTTGTTACACATTATTAATCTTATTTGATAATCTTCAATAATTGAGGAAACTTGGATCATATTTAAGAATATTTGTCTGTTTTTGCAGCAGCTTCAATTCAGAGACTTTTCTCTTTAAGAAATATACATCATGAATAAAATCAACCTCTTTATCTCTAACTGCTCTGTTCCATTGTCACACTGACCTTCACTGGTAATATGTTCACTTTATCCACAGTGTTAATGTATGGAAACATCTTCTCAGTGAAAGTGTGTGTGAAGGTGTGTATGTGTGTGTTAGTATCAGGATCAGAGAACGACAGCTTTCCTCTGTTCCAGTCCAGATTCACTCTGATCCTCCGGACCTTCTTCTGAAATAGGAGACCACTTTCCGGAGCTGATGGTGACAATGCATAGTATTCACCTTCATTGAACCATATTACCCATAATCCAGAGAGTGTGACTCCCTTCCTCTGGACAGTCTCTGCAAAGACACCCAGAAACCAGAATGTACTGTCTCCAACCTCGACATCCCAGCTGTGAGTCCCTGAGTTAAAGCCCTCAGAGCCCAGAACAGAGCAGTGGTAATTAAACCTCTCTGGATTATCAGGAAGCTGCTGTTTCTCTCCTGCTAGTTTCACACTGGTCAGATCTTTAGACAGGATGATGTCTGGATCAGCAGTGTTTGGATCCAGAATCACAGGAGTGTAGGAGACCATGTCCTTCATCTTGTTCCAGATGTTGAAGGTCAGGTTGCCCAGGTGTTTGGCCTTGTCTATCAGAGCTCCTGAGGGCAGCTGTGGATCCTCCAGCAGGGGGCGCTGCTGGACTCTTTCCACTGCAGCCTTGTAGTTGTTCAGGAATGAGACGTCTTCAGCTCTCAGCTCCTCCTCTGTGGCTCTGACTGTGTCTGAAAGAGCTGCTATCTCTCTGCTCAGAGCCTCCATCTTCTCCTTCATCATCTGACTCTTCTGCTCCTCTTCCTCCCTCAGTGCAGCCAGCCTGGCCTCCTCTTCCTCTTCTAGAAACTGGTGAAGCTTCTTAAACTGCTCCTTAATCTGCCTCTCTGTGCGTCGGGTCTGGACCTTCATGTGTTCTGCTGTTTGATCAAACTTCACTTTAACTTCTTCACAAACCTTTAACTTCTCCTTTAAGGGCTCCAGAGTTTCCTGAAGTTCCTTCTTTTGTTGTCGTGCAGCTTCATCGATGGGTCTGAATCTGTGGTTGGTGTGTTTTTCTGAATCTCTGCAGACAACACACACTGGCTGCTGATGGTCCAGACAGAAGAGTTTGAGTTTCTCAGAGTGCAGACTGCAGAGAGCCTCTGAAGATCTCTGATCTCTTTCCTGTAAGAAACTCTCACACAGGTTCTTTAAAGCCCGGTTTATAGGTGGGTGTTCCTTTGAAGATCTTCTCTTACAAACTGGACACTCACGTGTTATTTTCTCCTTCCACCAGCTCTTCTGACAGTCTTTACAGAAGCTGTGGCTGCATGACAGAACAACAGGATCTCTAAAGACGTCACAACAGATCGGACAGCAGAAATCCTCCTCTGGTCTGGAAGCCATTTTGTCTCTGAGTGCAGCTTGAAACAGCAGACAGTATGTTAAACAGGAAGTCAAGTGTGTTTACCCGTCGTGCTGTGAAAAGTTACCTGTGTTACTTTCACTTTGAGTCTCTGAGAGTTTTTTCAGTCTGCAGCAGGTTGAAGTACTTTAAAGTACTCTGAAGTACTTTAGAGTACTTCAGTCCTCCGTCCTGTAACTGTCCTCCCTCAGTTAAAGTCACAGCTTTGTAATGAAGGTAAATCTTACCATCTGTGTGTCCGTCTGTGTGTCTGTCCTCAGTGAGAACTGAACAGGAACAACCTGTTTCCTGATTGGTGTAAGATGATGTCATTAAGGGGCGGAGCTTTGTCAGCTCACTGCTGTGTCTCATTTTAAAGGGAAATATGATCCATCACACTGCTCTGAGATCACGTCACAAATAAAACAACCAGAGCAAATTCACTCTCACTCATATTTCTGTGACGAAAAAAAACAACTACCATGATCCCATGCTGCTTCATTACTTCATCAAAGTTCCTCTTTTGTCATTGTTCTGATGAGAGAGACCCCCTGTTGGTAGAAATTACACATTGTAGGTAGCCTACAGTACTTGAGTAAATGTACTCGGTTACATTCCACCACAGTTTGAAAGGAATATAAAAACTTGTCACGAATCATTGTTTCACTCAATAACATTGTGAAATACTAATAAATGTTGGATCTGTCACTCACCGATCCAAAATGGTTTCCTCCCTGCAAACTACAACAGCCAGCTCATGTCTCTTCTGGAGCACACACTGGTGTAAATGTAGAGCAGCAGAAACAGAAAGTGGCATGAAAAGAACAAACTCAAACCTGAACTTAAATCTGTAACAATTCTGCATTAAACTGTGTATAAACTTTAGAGCTTTGTTCTATACGCTCAATGTAATGATGGTAATAGTGGTGAAGACAACAACTCCCATCATCCCACCCTACTTCACAACCTTCCTCTGTTGTTATTGTTTTGATGTGAGAGACCCCCTAGTGGCAGGAATTACACATTGTACATTTAATTAAAGGATAATGTCCGACGAGGGGTCCACTATCAGGAATTAATGGACGAAGAACAAACAAAGTAAAGACAATATTTTATTATGTTGATGAAAAACAGGAGTTATTGTACATTCAGCATTAATGTTAGTTAATGTTCTGAAATCAGCAACATTACACACAGTCTGAACCCAAACTGAGACGTCCACCAACTAACAGCAGAATTCAACTGATGGAAACTGAATGAAAACACTGTTACAGACTGAATCATCTCCACTTCATTACAGCAAATAGAACATTGTTCATATATTTTGGATCATTTAAACATATATTTTACATATTGTGAACATTTGATATGTGGAATTAAACCATTTTGAAACTTGGCTGCTCAAACATGCAGTTAGTGATGATTATTTTTATGATTTGGATCCATCAGCTTCCACAGAGTGGTTGCTGGTCTTTACGGCTCCACACACACAAGTCAAGATAATAAAAAAATGACAATTTAAAATGACACAGTGTCAATAAAAAGAGAACCAAACATAAAGATCAGAAACTGAGTTAAATCATTTTATATCTGAAAAAGGTCGACAACAGAAACAAAAATAAACATTGTACACTGAAAATTATTATTGTGAAGAAAGTAAAAAAGTTTCTGGGAAATTAGATTTATTTTTTGTCTATAAAGAAAAATTATATTTTAAAATATAAAAATATATGTGTCTTAATAAGATATTCCAGCTAATATTGAGCTCGATTTAACCAGTAACAACAACGGTTGCATAATATCCCAGCAGAGGAACCAGATTATTGTCCTTATTTTCAGAGTAAGAGCACTTGCACAACTTTAAGAGAAAGTCGTCTGGTCCCAGTGTTGGAAATCAGAATCAGAATCAGAATCAGAATGAGATTTATTGCCAGGTAGATTTTTACACATACGAGGAAATTTGTCTTGGTGCAATGGTGTTTAAAATATACAATCACACAAAAAATAAAAAGATAAATATATAAATCACACAAAAATCACACAAGAATAAAGTACTTTTTAAAAAAAAAATATAGATAAATAAAGATAAGAAAGATAAGAAAAGATAGGAAAACTGTACAGAAGACGGGAGTGCATTAATGTAATGCATATATACAGGGTGGGTATAAGAGTCAGTGACAGTGGGGGGTCCGGGCCTTGTTGATGAGGCCAGCTGCAGACGGGAAGAAACTGTATTTGTGGAGAGAGGTTTTGGTCCTGATGGACTGTAGCATCCTGCCAAAGAGTTTGTGGCCGGGGTGGGAGGGGTCAGCCACAATCTTGCCTCTTGCCTGCTGAGGAGCAGTTTCAGTTTAACAGCTTCAATTCAGATACTTTTGTCTTTAAGAAATAAACATCATGACTTCGCTGGTAATATCTTCAGTGGGACTTTATCCCCAGTGAAAATGTACGGAAACATCCTCTCAGTGAAAGTGTGTGTGAAGGTGTGTATGTGTGTGTTAGTTTCAGGATCAGAGAACGACAGCTTTCCTCTGTTCCAGTCCAGATTCACTCTGATCCTCGGGACCTTCTTCTGAACTCTGAGAACAGTGAGTGGAGCTGATGGTGACTCTACTGAGTATTCACCTTTATAGAACTGTATTACCCATAGTCCAGAGAGTGTGACTCCCTTCCTCTGGACAGACTCTGCTAACACACCCAGTTCCCAGTCTGTATTGTCTCCAACCTCGACATTCCAGCTGTGAGTCCCTGAGTTAAAGCCCTCGGAGCCCAGAACAGAGCAGTATTCATCAAACCTCTCTGGATTGTCAGGAAGCTGCTGTTTCCCGCCTCCTCGTCTCACACTGGTCAGATCTTCAGACAGGATGAGGTTTGGACCAGCAGTGTTTGGATCAAGATTTACAAGACTGTAGGAGACCATGTCCTTCATCTTGTTCCAGATGTTGAAGGTCAGGTTGCCCAGGTGTTTGGCCTCGTCTATCAGAGCTCCTGAGGGCAGCTGTGGATCCTCCAGCAGGGGGCGCTGCTGGACTCTTTCCACTGCAGCCTTGTAGTTGTTCAGGAATGAGACATCTTCAGCTCTCAGCTCCTCCTCTGTGGCTCTGACTGTGTCTGAAAGAGCTGCTATCTCTCTGCACAGAGCCTCCATCTTCTCCTTCATCATCTGACTCTTCTGCTCCTCTTCCTCCCTCAGTGCAGCCAGCCTGGCCTCCTCTTTGTCTTGTAGAAACTGGTGAAGCTTCTTAAACCTCTCCTTAATCAGCCTCTCTGTGCGTCGGGCCTGGATCTTTATGTGTTCTGCTGTTTGATCAAACTTCACTTTAACTCCTTCAGAAACCTTTAACTTCTCCTTTAAGGGCTCCAGAGATTCCTGAAGTTCCTTCTTGTGTTGTCGTGCAGCTTCATCGATGGGTCTAAATCTGTGGTTGGTGTGTTTTTCTGAATCTCTGCAGATGTGACACACTGGCTGCTGATGGTCCAGACAGAAGAGTTTGAGTTTCTCAGAGTGCAGACTGCAGAGAGCCTCTGAAGATCTCTGATATCTCTCCTGTAAGAAACTCTCACACAGGTTTTTTAAAGCCAAGTTTATAGGTGGTTCCTGCCTCGAGGATCTTCTCTTACAAACTGGACACTCACGTGTAATTTTCTCTGTCCACCAGCTCTTCAGACAGTCTCTACAGAAGCTGTGGCTGCATGACAGAACAACAGGATCTCTAAAGACATCACAACAGACCGGACAGCAGAAATCCTTCTCTGATCTGGAAGCCATTTTGTCTCAGAGTGCAGCTGGAAACAGCAGATTAAAAGTTAAAACATTATGTCAGGCTGTGAGAAGTTGCCTCAGTTACTTTCACTTTGTGTCTGTGGGTTTTTCTCAGTCAGCAGCAAGTTGAAGTACTTTGGTGTACTTCAGAGTACTTCAGTATATTTCATTATACTTCACTGTACTTCAGTATACTTCAGTCCTCCCTCCTGTACGTGTCCTCCCTCAGTTAAAGTCACAGGTTTGTAATAAAGGTAAATCTTACCGTCTGTGTGTCCGTCTGTGTGTCTCTCCTCAGTGAGAACTGAACAGGAACAACCTGTGGTGTCAGATGATGTCATTCAGGGGCGGAGCTTTGTCAGCTTACTGCTGTTTCTCATTTTAAAGGGAAATATGATCCATCACACTGCTCTGAGATCACATCACAAAGAAAACAACCAGAGCAAATTCACTTTCACTCGTATTTCTGTGATTGTTTTTTGTTTGTTTTAAATCATTTAAAAAAAAAAAATAATGAGCAGCAGTGCATCAGAAATGTTAGTATGAGTCAAACACATGTCTGACACTGTGCTCACACATACAAACACAAATAAAAGAAACTCTGAACAATAAGTATTATAAAGTCAGTCACTGTTGCCAGATTCATCTTTTTGACCAGTTATAGATGATAGTGTGAAGACACTGGGAGGACGACACATGCACACATTTCACCACAGGTGGGTTTCTATAACGAAAAGACTGCGTACAGTTGAGCGCAGCACAGTTTATATTTTCATGCGTCAGTAGATTCTATGTGAGTACGCAAAGTTTTAGGATGAAGTTTCATTAATGAGGAGACTGAGCTTCAGCTTCAAGCTCAGCTCATTGTACACAGAAAAGTTCCCATAAAGACACAAGAACATTTAATTAAGTCTCAAGTTATTAAGTTGTGAATTATAAAATGATATGTGAATTAAAACAACATTAAGTCTCGTGGCTGAATTTAATTATCAAAACTGAAATTGTGACATTGGCAGTTCCTCTGGATGAACTTTCACATTCAAGAACCAGAGACATAAATTACTTTATTCAGACGGCAGCCATTTATCATTTCACAAGACAAAACTGTGTGTAGGTGAGAATAGATTTACATCAGTCTCATGCAAAGAGCTGAATATGAAGCCAGTGGTGGAGGAAGTACTCAGATCCTGTAAACCCTTGATATGTTTATGAGCAAAAATCTTGATTTGAAAAATAACTAAAGCTGTCGGAATAAATGTAGAGCAGCAGAAACAGAAAGTGGCATGAAAAGAACAAACTCAAACCTGAACTTAAATCTATAATCTGTAACATTTCTGCATTAAACTGTGTATAAACTCTAGAGCTTTGTTCTATATGCTCAATGTAATGATGGTAATAGTGGTGAAGACAACAACTCCCATCATCCCACGTACTTCACCAAACTTCCTCTGTTGTTATTGTTTTGAAGTGAGAGACCCCCTAGTGGCAGAAATAACATATTGTACGTTTAATTAAAGGAAAATTCCCGACGAGGGGTCCATTATCAGGAATTAATGTACAAAGAAATATGACAACAAAGTAAAGA